AAAAAAAAAAAAAAGAAAGAAAGAAAAAAAGCCCAAGCCACTCTGGGATATAAAATGCTCATAAATGTGACATGCAGTCATCAAGAATGTATTCTCATAGCGTCAATATTCCAAATTAATAAGCAGAAAGAGAGGCTTTTAACTCAGCAGGTGAAATTTTAACTATTTGTGTGAAGGCAAAGGGGTTTTCTGGCCTACCTCATTTCCAAAAGTTGTGAGATCTGCTAGTGGTATCTATAGGGCCAATCCAATACCAGTCAAGAATTGGTGTAGTTTCCTAAATAGGACTTTACATGGTCTGTTTCATTACAAAACCACACAATATGACTGAGATGTAAGGGGGAAAAATCATTCATGGAATCACTATTCTAACCAAATTACTATTTTTTTATTTTTGAATTTTCCCTTCTACTTTTTCCTATACACACATATATTTTAACATATAATTGTATATCCTAGTCTCATTATATCTTAAGCATTTCCCCATGATTCTATGTAATGAACATTTTAAATGATCAAATAGTTTGTAAGGAACATTTATTTAAATGCTCAAATAGTTTTCATTCAGTAGCTATGCTTTTCCCTTGTTAAGACATTTAGGTTACTTAAAACTTTTTGTTATTTTAAATAACAAATCTGGCGGGGCAGGGTGGGGGGGAGGTGGAGTGGAAAAGCTTTGTGCTCATGACTTCTTTCTTTTGTATTCTCACTTTGGATAAGTTTCTAAAAGAGCTATTAACAAGGTAAAATACTTACATGACCTTTGATATACTAGGCCATTCCTTTTTAAAATATTAATATAAGCAGCAGAAGTAATAGCAATGTAAGGTTTTGTTGTTTTTAAAACTGTTTGAGCCCAACCAAAGCTTCAATACAATTACTGTCGTCCCTTGGTATCTTGGGGGGCCTTGTTTCCAGGACCTTCCACAGATACCAAAATCTGCAAAGGCTCGTCCTTGATATAAAATGTGCTGCCATATAACCTATGCACATCCTCCCATATACTTCATATCATTTCTAGGTTACTTATAATACCGAATACAATGTAAATGCTATTGTTCAGGGACTAATGACAGAAAAACAAAGTCTGAACACGTTCACTACAGAAAGCATTTTTCCCCCAAATATTCTCTATCTGCAGTTGGTTGAATCCATAGATGCAGAACCTATGGACACAGAGGGCCAACTATAAAGAATGTCATGCAAGCGCTTTCTATACCTATTTCTCAAGTAAATACAATTTATGTTTACTTTCTCAGGTAAGTTTTTGGTAAGTGCTGATATTATACTGTTACTGAATTCTCAATGTATATATGATTTTATAACAAAATCAGATCATTTGCTATTATTTATTAATCTTCAAATGTCCTTTCTGTGATAGGGCTGATTATTCATTTATTTTAGAGAAGTATAAGCCAGAGAAAACCAGAATCAAGTTCTTATGCCATATCTACTTAGATGGATTTAATTCCTAAATACCATACATATTCTTTCCAACAGTGACATAGTATTTCTAAAGTCTTATTTGATAAAGAAAACAACCATTTTCCTTTCAATGTTCAGGAAACCAATTGTGATTATAGATACAAAATATATATTTTTTCATGCAACAGCCAATTGCCTTTGCAGTCTTGGATTCTTTTTCTTCTGAAATCAGTAGCATTTTGTTTATATAGTAAGTTAGGATACCTATAAAGTAAAAGGAGGAAAAGATTGCTCTATGTAATTTTAACTACTTTTGAGAGCAATGTTTCTGAAAGTGGACCCTGACTGCAACATCAGCATCATCTAAAACTTGTGTGAAATGTAGATCCTCGGGCCTCAACCCAGACCCCACTGAACCAGAAACTCAGACGGGCACAGCAATACGTGTTTTAAAACAAGCTCTTAAGATGATGCCCATTGGCCAGGTACAGTGGCTCGTGCCTGTTAATCTCAGCACTTTGGGAGGCCCAGGCAGGTGGATCACGAGGTCAAGAGATTGAGATCATCCTGACCAACATGGTGAAACCCCATCTCTACTAAAAATACAAGAATTAGCTGGATGTGGTGGCATGCACCTGTAGTCCCAGCTACTCAGGAGGCTGAGGCAGGAGAATTGCTTGAACCCAGGAAGCGGAGGTTGCAGCGAGCTGAGATTGGACCACTGCACCTCAGCCTGGTAACAGAAGGTCTTTTAAAAAAAAAAAAAAAAGATGACGTCCATTAAAGTTGAAAAAACTACTATACCAAATTTATTGTATTATGCTTAATTTCCATTTACTAAATTTAAGACCTCTTATTATTTACAACTGCCTTCCTTTATTCTCATATACATCCATATATAAGGGGAGGGAATCAAAATTTTCTTCAAAAAAGAGGCAGTCTCCCTATAAATGAGTTTTGACAAAGTTTCTAAAATTATGAGCACTCTCTTTTTGCAACCACTGAAGCACAGAATTTTTAAAGAAGAAAAAGAAAAAAATATGGACACTCTGTTAATATATTTAGAACTAAGCGGTATTTTTGGGAGGACATCTTAGCTTGAAACAACCTCAATCAATGTTAATATATAGACACTGAAAAATATCACCTGATGGAATCAAGCAAAATTTTAATATCAATGTAATAAACTTTGCTGGGGTAGTACTGAACATTTGTAGGTGTTGGATATTGCTGAAAACAAGTTTTTCAAAAATCACTTAAAGAAGATATGATAGGTGGTAAAATTATAACAATCACATAACTTAGTGCTACATTTTTTTTTTTTTTTGAAATGGGGACTCTTGCTCTCTTGCCCAGGCTGGAGTACAGTGGCACGAGCTTGACTCACTGAAACCTCCGCCTCCTGGGCTCAAGCAATCCTCTTGCCTCAGCCTCCCAAGTAGCTGGGACAACAGGCACACACCACCACATCTAGCTAATTTTTTGCAGTTTTGGTGGAGATGGGGTCTCACCATGTTGCCCAGGCTGGTCTCAAACTCCTGAGCTCAAGGAATCCACCCATCTCAGCCTCCCAAATTGCTAGGATTACAGATGTGAGCCACCACACCTGGCCATTGAGCTACATTTTTAACAAATCAACTGCTCTAATGTATGCAAATAGGAATCTGGCGTGAGATACAATTTCCACTTATACATGGATTCAAAAAGTGCTATAGCTCAAACAACTTAGATATAATTTGATGGGCTCTGGAAAACTGTGCAACTAAAAACAGCTAGCTCTTGTGATGACAAAGTCACTGATGTCAATGAGGTACGTAAGGTGTTTGAATGAAACTCATTTTTTTTTTCTCTATCTTCAGTTATTCTGTCTGCAATAATAATAACAATGGCCATCCTCATAAAAACTACCATCTATTGAACATTTCCATTGAGTCAAGAACTGTGTAAAGTGATTTACATATGTTATGTAATTTCTCACAACAATCCTGCAAGGTAAATAGTATCATTGAGCCATATGAAATTGCTGATACTCAATCTTTTTTTAGAATCAACTTTTTATTTTACAATAGTTTTGGGTTCATAGACAAGCTGTAAGGATAATACAAAAAATTCCCATATGCCCTGTACCTAGTTTCTCTGCTGTTAACGTCTTATATTACAATGGTACCTTTGTCAAAATTTATGAAACACTGTTGATATATTTTCATTAGAAGTCCATACTTTATTTAGAACTCCTTTGTTTTTTTCCCAAACGTCTTTTTTTCTATTCTAAGGTTCCCTCCAGGATCCCTTATATTTGGTTGTTATGTCTCCTTATGCTCCTCTTGGCTCCTCAAATTTACCTTGGTTTTGATGGCTTTGACAGTTTTGAAAATACTGGGTCAGGTATTCTGTATAATGTTTTTCTCATCATTAAACTGGAGTTATGGATTTTGGAGAGGAAGACCAAAGCGGTAAAGTGACATTTTCACTGCATCTTATCTGAGATATGTGCTATCAACATGACTTATCATTGTTGATGTTAATCTGGACTACCTGGCTGAGGTCAGGTTTCTTCATTACTCTTAGAAGAAAGTCACTAATTTTTTGATTCAGTGCACAGCCCACCCTTAAAAAACACAGAGTTATGCTCTACCTCATAGAGGGGGGTTAGCTAGATAAATAAACAGGATATTTGTCTGTTGTCTCCTATTTATATATTCATTCATTCATTTCAGTGGGCTGACAGCCATTTTATACTCTGGGTTATAATCCAATACTATGTTATTTATTTTGTTGCTCAAATCATTCCAGCTATGGACACTGGAAGCTCTTTCAGTTGCTCCCTGTATCCCTTTCACATATTCCCATCATATATTTTTGAGCACTTCCTTACCTTCTGGTTCTATAAGATGCTCCAGGCTCATTTTATATACTTGTTGTCTTGGTCCTAGAATCAGCCATTTCTAACATCATTAAAGAATGGTATTAGAAACCACAGTGTGGGTGCTAGAATTAAATTGTTTTTTATCTACCAAAAAACAATTTCATATGGGTCAACCTAATATCTCAACTTTACAGATGAGGAAATTGAATCCTAGAGAAGTTCAGTAACTTGTTCAAGGTTTCTTAGCTCAGAATGTCAGAACCAAACATCAAATCTGCATGAAATAAAGTTACCAATTTAAATCAATAGGCTATGAGTACAGAACATGAATCACTGGAGTTTGACATCAACTATTCTAGTTACTCAAAGATGTTTTGCTTACTCTAAGAACATAGAACGATGAAGAAAATAGGACATTATTACTAAGTCAACCTTTTTTTTTTTTTTT